CTGGGCAGACACGCGGGTTCCATTACAGTATAAGGTGGTGAACTTCGTTGGCGAAAGTGTGTACCCTGACTCTTCCGCCCTCTGGCCATTCCCCATTTCTCTCCCTCTCGACCGGCCTCCCTATTCCCTGAGACACCACAATATTGAGCTTGGGCCCGTTAATAACACTCCGGCCTCTCGGTGTTCAAGTGAAAGGAAGAGTCGCGCGACTCTCACTTTAAATCAAAAGTTAGAGATGACTAAGGTTAGTGAGGAAGGCGTTTCGAAAGCTGAGATAGACCAAAAGTTAGGCGTCTTTGTGCCAAACAGTCCGGTCGTGAATGCAAAGGAAGGTTTTTGAAGGAAGTTAAAAAGTTCTGCTCCGGTGAACTCACAAATGTTAAGAAAGCAGAACAGCCTTATTGCCGATACAGAGAAAGCTTGGTCTGGATAGAAGTGAAACCAGCCATGACGTTCCCTTAAGCCAAAGCCTAATCCAGAGCAAGGTCCTAACTCTTGGCAGTTCTATGGAGGCTGAGAGAGGTGAGGAAGCTGCGGAGGAAAAACTTGGAGCCAGCAGAGGTTGGCTGTGAGGCTTACGGAAAGAAGTCATCTCGATAACATACAAGTATAAGGTGGAGCAGCGAGTGCTGATGTAGAAGCTGCAGAAAATTCTCCAGAAGATCTAGTGAAGGTAATTTACAAAGGTGGCTACTAACCAACAGATTTTCAATGTAGATGAAGCAGTCGTCTGTTGGAAGAACATGCCATCTAGGACTTTAAGCTGGAGAGGAGAAGTCAGTGCCTGGCTTCACACTTCAAAAGGCAGACTCGCTGTCTTGTTAGGGGCTAAAGTCCCCGGTGACTTTTAAGTTGAAGCCAGTGCTCACTGTCCTTTCTGAAAATCATTAAGTATTACGCTGTATGTACTCTGCCTGCTCTAGAAATGCAACAACAAAGCCTGGATGACAGCACACCTGTTTACAACATGGTTCACTAAATAGTTTAAATCCACTGTTGAGACCTACCACTCAGAAAAAAAAGGTTCCTTCTAAAACATTGCTGCTCAGGGGCGCCTGGGTGGCTCAGTCGGTTAAGCGGCCGACTTCGGCTCAGGTCATGATCTCGCGGTCCGTGGGTTCGAGCCCCGCGTCGGGCTCTGTGCTGACGGCTCAGAGCCTGGAGCCTGTTTCAGATTCTGTGTCTCCCTCTCTCTGACCCTCCCCTGTTCATGCTTTGTCTCTCCCTGTCTCAAAAATAAATCAAATGTTAAAAAAAAAAATTTAAAACATTGCTGCTCATTGACAATGCACCTGGTCACCCAAGAGCCCTGATGGCTATGTGCGATGAGATTAGTGTTGTTTTCCTGACTGCGAACACAACATCCATTCTGTAGACCACGGATCAAGGATAATTTCAACTTTCAGATCTTTTTAAGAAATACATTTGGGGCGCCTGGGTGGCTCAGTCAGTTGGGCGTCCAACTTCAGCTCAGGTCATGATCTCGCGGTCCGTGAGTTCGAGCCTCGCGTCGGGCTCTGTGCTGACAGCTCGGAGCCTGGAGCCTGTTTCGGATTCTGTGTCTCCCTCTCTCTCTGGCCCTCCCCTGCTCATGCTCTGTCTCTCTCTGTCTCAAAAATAAATAAATGTTAAAAAAAAAAAAAAGAAATACATTTTGTATGGCTATACCTGCCATAGATAGTGATTCTTCTGATGGATGTGGGCAAAGTAAATAGAAAACCTTCTGGAAAGGATTTAATATTCTAGATGCCATTGAGAACATTTATGATTCGGGGCACCTGGGTGGCTTAGTCCGTTGAACTTCCGACTCCGGCTTAGGTCACCATCTCACAGACGATGAGTTCGAGCCCCACATTGGTCTTGCTGCTGTCAGCAAAGAGCCCACCTCAAATCCTCTGTCTCCCTCTCTCTGCCCCTCCCCTGCTTGCACTCTCTCAAAACTGAATAAAAAATTTAAAAAAATTCGTGTTCCCCCCCCAAATAAAATACCTAGGAATAAACTTACCCTAAGAGGTGAAAGACCTGTACTCTGAAAACTATAGAACATTGATAAAAGACATTGAAGATGATGCATAAGAAATAGACATTTTGTGCTTGTGGATTGGAAGGACAAATATTGTTAAATGTCTACACTGCCTAAAGCAACCTACAAATCTAAATCAAGCCCTACCAAAATACCAACAGCATGTTTCACAGAACTAGAACAAACAATCCTAAAATTTGTATGGAACCACAAAAGACTCTGAATAGATAGCCAAAGCAATCTTGAAAAAGAAAAAGAAAACTGGAGGTTTCAAAACTCCAGGCTTCAAGTTATATGACAAAGCTGTAGTAATCAAAACAGCATGTTACCGGCACAAAAATAGACACATAGATCAATGGGACAGAATAGAAAGTCCAGAAGTAAGCCCACATTTATATGGTCAATTAGTCTTCAACAAAGGAGGAAAGAATATGCAATGGGAAAAAAGACAGTCTCTTCTTTGGTGTTGGGAAATGGTGCTGGGAAAACTGGACCACTTTCTTACACCATTCACGAATATAAACTCAATATGGATTAAAGACCTAAATGTGAGACCTGAAACTATAAAAATCGTAGAAGAGAACACAGGCAGTAATTTCTCCAATATTGGTCACAGCAACATCTTTCTAGATACGTTTCCGGAGGCGAGGGAAACAAAAGCAAAAATAAACTGTTGGGATTACATCAAAACAAAAAGCTTCTGCACAGCAAAGGAAACAACCAACAAAACTAAAAGACAACCTACTGAATGGGAGAAGATATTTGCAAACGACATGTCCAATAAAGGGTTAGTATCCAAAATATATAAGGAACTCACACAAAACTCAACACCCAAAAAACAATCCAATTAAAAAATGAGAAGACATAAACAGACATTTCTCCAAAGAAGATATCCAGATGGCCAACACACACATGAAAAGAGGCTCAACATCACTCATTATTAGGGAAATGCAAATCAGAACCACAATGAGGTATCACCTCATACCTGTCAGAATGACTAGATCAAAAACAAGACTTAACAACAGGTATTGGTGAGGAGGTGGAGAAAAAGGAACCCTTGTGCACTGTTGGTGAGAATGCAAACTGGTGCAGCCACTATGGAAGACAGTATGGAGGTTCCTCAAAAAATTAATTACTGAAACCTTATGATTCAGGAATTGCTCTAGTGGGTATTTGCCCAAAGAATACAAAAACACTAATTCAAAGGGATTTGTCCTATGTTTATTGCAACATTATGTACAATAGCCAAACTATGAAAGCAACCCAAGTGTCCAAGTGTCCATTGATAAGTGAATGAATAAAGAAGATATGATATATATATATATATATGATATATCACATATTCATATTTATATGAATATTTTTCAGCCATTAAGAAGAACAAAATGTTGCCATTTGCAACAACATGGATGGATCTAGAAAGTATAATGCTAAGTGAAATAAACAAGTCAGAGAAACACAAATACCATATAATAATTTCACTCAAATGTGGAACTTAAGAAACAAAACAAATGAACAAAGGGAAAACAAGACAAACCAAAATACTCCTTTTTAAAAAAAAGTTTAAAAAAGTTTGTCTGTTTAAGTAGTCTCTACACCCAACATGGAGCTCAAACTCAGAACCCCGATATCAAGGGTCACATGCTCTTTCAACTGAACCAGCCAGGTGCCCCAAACACTCTTAACTATAGAGAACATGCTGGTGGTGACCAGAGAGGAGTTGGATGGGGTGATGGGTGAAATAGGTGAAGGGGATAAAAACACTTGATGAGCACTGAGTACTGTATGGAACCGTTGGATCACTATATTGTACACCTGAAACTGATAGACCACTGTATGTTAACTACACTGGAATTAGCATTTTTAAAAAATCCATAATTCATGAAAGAGGTCAACATATCAACATTAGCAGGGGTTTGGAAGCCGTTGACTCCAGCTCTCATGGATGACACTGAGAGGTCCAGGACTTCAGTGGAGGAAGTAACTGCAGATGTGGTGGAAATAGCATTAGAACGAGAAGTAGAGCCTGCAGACGGGACTGCTGCCATCTCATGGTAAAACTTGAACCAGTGGAGAGTTGCTTCTTACAGATGAGCAAAGACGTTGGTTTTTCAAGATGGAATCTACTGCTGGTGAAGGTGCTGTGAAAATTGTTGAAATGACAACAAAGGATTTAGAATATGATGACATACCTTTAGTTGATAAGGCAGTAGCAGGATTTGAGAGGATTAGCTCCAATTTTGAAAGAAGTTCTACTGTGGGTAAAATGCTATCAAATAGCATTGTAGGCTACAAAGAAATCGTTTGTGAAAGGAAGAGTCAGGTGGTGTGGCAAACTTCACTGCTGTCTCGTTTTAAGAAATTGTCGTGGTTGCCTCAGTCTTCAGCAACCACCACCCTGATCAGTCAGCAGCCGTCAACACCGAGGCAAGACCCTCCACCAGCAAAAAGATGATGACTCACAGAAAGCTCAGTGACGGTTAACATTTTTTAGCAATAAGCTTTTCAAATTGAGGTATGAACTTTTTTTAGACATAATGCTCTTGCGTACTTAATAGGCTACAGTATAGTGTAAACATAATTTTTACATGCACTGGGAAATAAAAATCACTTGACTTGCTGTATTGCGATATTCACTTTATTGCAGTGGTTTGTTTGGAACCAGACTTGCAATATCTCCAAGGTGTGCTTGGAGATCACTAAATTCCAAGTAGGGGATACCTCTTGAGCAGCAGGGAGTGGTAATGGTAGTGGTACATTTATTAAGCTTGGCGGCACTTAATGGGCTCATGTGATTATTGTTTTTATAACTTGCATGTGTTATAAATAATTAAATAACATTTATAACTTAAATGTGTTACACATTTAATTAAAAATTAAATCCAGCTTTATCAAATTCTTATTTTTTTAATACAGTAACTTCCAACTGAAAACAGCAGAGATTCTGGCAATTTGGATTCTTGCTGGGCTGAATTTGATGGAGCACCCTGGGTAGGTTGGACAGTAATAAAACTTAAAATAATCTTTTGTGACTACTGGTAATACTCACGTTTTGCAAGTCAGTGGTTAAGAGCTTTTTTATGCTCTTGAGGTAGAAATAGTGAAACGTGGGGCATCTGTGTGGCTTAGTCAGTTAAGCATTTGACTTCAGTTCAGGTCATGATCTCATGGTTCGTGAGTTTGAGCCCCGTGTCGGGCTCTGTGCTGACAGCTCAGAGCCTGGAGCCCGCTTCAAATTCTGTGTCTCCCTCTCTGCCCCTCCCACACACACACTCTGTCTCTCTCTGCCTCTCAAAACGAAAGAAAACTAATAAAAATAAAATAAATTAAATAGTCATCTTAATAAAATAAATAAAACCTTTAGTCCATTTTGCAGACAATAACATATATCTTTTACTTACACAGTAAAAAATGGCCAATTGTGTTAGTTATTGCTGCAGACATAACAAATTTTCCTAAATTCCAGTGGCTGTAAAAACAAACTCTATGACCTCCCAGGTTTTTGGGTCAGGAATCCAGGAGTAGCTTGTCCAGGTGGTTCTGCCCAGATCTTATGACACTTTAATTGAGGGTTGGCCAGGGCTGTGGTCACCTCAGGGCTCGCCAGGCTGGTGTCAGGCCTCTTCAGATCAGCTTCCAAGCTCATTCATGTGGGCCTCTGCACAGGGAAGCCTCCGGCCTGGCCCTGGCTCCCCCCTGGAGAGGGAGGAAGAGAGCCCAAGCTGTGACCTCCCGTGGCTTCTGCCGTATTCTCTTCACTAGAAGCACCGGGGTTGGGGTCCCACAAAGGTGCGATTAACAGGAGGAGGACTTTGGAGGCCACCTGAGAGGCTGCCATCACAGCTGAAGGGCAGAAATAAAGACTCAGGCAGAATAGGGAGGAAAGTGGGTGTGATGGAGACATTGGTAACTTCAGAGGGGTGGGTCTATTGTCCTTCAGGTTTTTTAGGGACTTGTCCAGGAAATAAAATGAATCCCAGTGTTGATGTAATTTAGAAAATCTAGAGTAACTGCAATATAATGATTTATGAGAAATACATATTTCATCGTTCAGAGGACCAAACTACTTCTCAGATATATTTGGTCTTCATCCATAGTTCCTGGGAACACTTCAGAGCCAGAAAGGTGACAAGGGTGTCTTAATGAAGGAGACTTCTGGACCCCACTCAAGGGCGGGGCTATTGCCAGGACGACCAAGCAGGTGATCAGAGGGTTGGAACTTCCGGCACGCCCCCCACCCCTGCGGAGAGGGGAGGGGCTGGAGGCTGAATTGGCCAATGGGAACTTCCAGACCCACCCCTGACGCCTGCATAGAGGGGAGGGGCTGGAGGCTGAATCAGCCAATGGAAACTTCCGGCCCCACCCCCGACCGCCTGGAGAGGGGAGGGGCTAGAGGCTGAATCGGCCAATGGCCAATGATTTAATAAATGGTGGGGATACAAAGAAGCCTCTATAAAAGCTTTTTCTGGAGACGGCCCACACTTCGGCACCCGAACTCTTCCGTGTGCCGGTGGGCCGGGCCCCAGGCTCCATGAGGACAGAAACTCGAGTTGGGCACCTCGCTCTGTGGATCTCTCCCATCTGCGTGTTGCTACATACTCTCTGTATCTTTAAGGAACCGGTAAGCACGGGTCAGCCTTCCCCTGAGCTCTGTGAGGCTCTCGAACAAGTTAACAGAATCGAAGGATTCTGCAGAATCGGCTGCCGGTTGGTCAGAGGCACAGGTACCTGGTACCTGTGACTAGAGTCTGAAGGTGGGGGCTGGGAGGGGGCATCTTATAGGACAGAGTCCTTAACCCGTAGGATGTGATGGTGTCTCTGGTAGATAGTGTCAGAATTGAATTGAATTCTGGGACACGCTGCTGGGATCCCGAGAACTGCTTGGAGTTGCGGGTGGGGGACTTGGAAATTGGTGCTCAGAACCTTAAAAGAGCAACAGAGGAGCATATTGATTGTCTCTTAAAGACTGTCTTTGACAGCAGAAATTGTGCTTCCCTTCCTGCAGGCCATGGGGGATCAGGACTTACCCGGCGTTTTGGTGTCTGGATTGGAAGGACCTCATGGTATATGTGAGGATCACATTGGAGATCTGCAGAAACACTTTACTCTCATTACTCTGCAAGAATTTTTGGAAAATAACACACGATTCGGTCCAAAGGTCCAAGCTGTATACATCTGGGGCGGAAAGCCAGCCGTTACCCAGGAGCTCCTGCAGAGTCTGCCCTCCTTGAAGATAATTGCCAGTGCAGGAGCAGGTCTAGATCACCTGGACCTGAAGCTCATTGCCAGCTGTGGTGTGAAGGTGGCCAACACACCACAGGCGGTTTCCAGTCCCACAGCAGACATGGGGATGGCCTTACTGCTGGCCGCAGCTCGCAGAGTCGTGGAAGGTACCCAGGCTTTGGAGATGCTGGTTTTCCAAAGACAGCAGATGACAGATACTTAACGCAGATGATTACATAATGTTATCTTCAAACTACAGGTCTTTCCTGGGCCCTGATTTCTTCCAGGACTTTGTTGCACTTGAGAATTGGAGTCACTTTCAGTCGTTTGCCGCGTACTTAGTGCCTGAGCCCCGCTTCCCAGCACATATCGGCCATTTTCTCCCCCACCAGATTCCTCTCATTCACAGGCAGTAAACGTGTGTGTGGAGTAATTTCAACATCGAAATTACTATGGAAATGCCCTTGGGGTGATTCTTTGGTCAGTCAGCATGCTACTCTTGGTTAAAGACCCACGAGCGAATAGGCAGAATCTGACCTCTCCACACCGGGGACATCTCTGGGAATATCCCCAGGAAAGGCAGGGCAGCAGTTCCGCACCCCTCAGTCCCCCAATCCTCCTGGTGGAGCTCTGAGCAAAGAGGAAGATGAAGCTTTGATGAAGAGGCTTGAGGAAAGAGGAGACAGGAATCAGGCTCTGGTTCGGATTCTGGTTGCGGGTTCACGCACATGCACACACACCAACATACCGACACCAGCAAGTTTTAACCAGAAATCCTGCCGTAATGTAAAAGAAGTTGGTATTTCAAAGCTTTGCACCAGGACGCTCTGGTTTTGTTATGAGGAAACTGTCTTTGTCCCTTTCCTTCACCCCTTGCAGAAACCCTTGTCTTCTGTCAAGAGATGCCTGAGGGCTGTGTCTGCCACAGGCACCCTCTAACTCACTACTCTGCCCCAGTAAGGTTGTGGATTTCTGTGTCTGGTGACATCCGCTCTGACCACTCTGTCCCTTGTATATTTTAGGTCATAGGTTGGCTATTGCACCGGATACAGAGAACTTTTCTACAAACTGGATGGGTCAGGAAGTTACAGGGGCCACTCTGGGAATCATCGGCATGGGCAGCATTGGCTATAAGATTGCTCAGAGGGCCAGAGCATTCGAAATGAAGATTCTGTATCACAATAGGAAACGCAGGTAAACATTCGGAAAATGGACTTGAAATTAACTGAGCAGAACGTATACCATCACTGCCTTAAAGTGGCTTGGATATAGGAGCCCTCTGCTTTTCATAAGACTCTCCTACTCTTTCTCTCCAAAAAATAGGACTGATTGTCAAGAAAGGGATTGTGATATTTTTATAATTACCTAGGAATGTGGCTGTGACTTTTTTATTGAAAAATTTCACCAAAAAAGAGATTTTAACTCACAGCTTTGTTTTTTGTTTTTTTAATTTCTAAAGTGTTTTTTTTTTCAAGGAAGCTTTCCATACCCACTGAGCAATTTGACTGGTTCCTTTATGTGCACTTCCTCCCTCAGCCTGACACCCGGTCTTACTGATTCTCTCTCCAAACAGCCTTCAGACCTGCCTGTTCTCTCTCACCTCATCGATGCCACTGGGCTCAGGCCCCGTCCTTTCTCACCTGAAATACATATTCTCCTAACAGTCTGCTCACATCTGCTCTTGAACCTCCCACTCTCCTTGCAAACCAGCCAGATGATGGCCATTGTTTACAACCTTTACTGGCTTCCCACTGCACATGGAACGCATTTCCGGCTGGTGAGCAGTTTGTGGATGTATGGGGAGCTGAGAGTTTGTGCATTAGAACTATGCCCGTTTTTCAGTCACTGTTTGCACCATGGGCAGTGGAGGGACTTAGGTAGATGTGACGACTTTCCTTGTGATGAACACGCAGGCACAGAGGCCAGGGTTCTCCCAGGACAAGGTGTGTGGTGTGGGCAACGTATTCATCTTTCCTTTGGGCTGTCCCCTGACCCAAACATGTGTTTTGTATTCCGTATATGTATTCCATATTGCATAGCAGTGGAGGTTACCCGGCATGCTGTGGCCTCCGGGATCTTGGATTTCTGTTGAATAATCAGTTGTTTGGGATGGCCAGAGCAGGAGTTAAACAAATCCTGCCTGCATCGGACCCTTGGATCTTTGCTTTTGCGTTTCATAGGCAACGTTCCAAGGCCCTCTCCTGTTTTGTTTGTTTTCTAGAGACTGTGATGTGTTTGCTGCATTCATCAATGCTCTGTGGTCACAGAAGTACACACTCCTGCTCTTACTTGGGAGTGGGACCCACTTCCTGCCAGTAATGTTCTGTCGTTGCTGAGTGCATGTCCGATGCACAGTCAGGGTCACACCTGTCTCTGGGGGCTCAAATGAGAAGAAGCTCCTGGCCGCAAGGAGCTTCAATGTGGGGTGCAATTCTGCAGACCCAGAGGCCTCGCCTCAGAGGTCCCGAGGGGCCCCCAGTGTTTCCATGGTGGGGGAGGATCCTGGACCCAGCAGCAACAGGCCCAGTCTTTGGCTCCCCTCAGAAACTCCTTCCTGAGGTGCCGTGATGAATTCCTGACTGGAGAACATGGTGTTTCTTCCTTGTCCCCTTCATAGGAAATTAGAGGAGGAGGAGGCTGTTGGAGCCACTTACTGTGAGAGTCTGGATGACCTGCTTCAGCGATCGGACTTTGTGCTGTTGGCCGTGAGCCTGACGCCCCAGACCCAGAGGCTGATTGGGAAGAGGGAGCTGAATCTGATGAAGCCCACTGCCATTCTCGTCAACATCGGCAGAGGTACTTGCCTGCACCACGGTCTGTGCGGAGGCCCGCGGGGCTGCAAAGTCTGCAAAGTCGGCCCAGCTCGACTTTCTCCTGGACAGCTGTGGGTCCAGAGAGTCCGTGCGCACTGGCGGGTGATGAGCTCAAGGGAGTTTCTATTTAGAAATATTTCTGATTTTTGTTTTCACATCATTTCGAGCCTCAAATTAGTAACAAAAAGGATGAGAATAGTACAGTATGGGGTTTTCACATCCCAATTAGGGCATCTACTTTGGGGCATCACAGTTTGGTCTTCTAGGTGTGATTAAGCAAAATTTATGGGGATACATTTTCTGAGCCTTCACTTTAAAAAAATTTCTTTTAAGTGTGAGAACGAGGCGGGGAGGGGCAGAGAGAGGGAGAGAGAAAACCCCAAGCAGGCTTTGCACTGTCAGCGTGAAGCCCAGTGTGGCCTGAGCCAAAACCAATAGTCAGATGCTTAACCAACTGAGTCACCCAGGTACCCCTTCACTTTTGTTTTTAAGTTTGTTTATTTTTAGAGAGAGCGAAAGCGAGAACACATAAGCAGGGGAGGGACAGGGAGAGAGAGAGAGAGAGAGAGAGAGAGAGAGAGAGAGAGAGAGAGAGAAACCCAAATGGCTCCACACTGTTAGCACAAGCACAGAGCCCGACTCGGGGCTGGAACTCAGGAACTGAGAAATCATGACCTGAGCTGAAATCAAGAGTTGGACGCTTAACCAACTGATCCACCCAAGCGCCCCTCTGATACTTTACTTTAAAAAATAAATAACAGTGTTAGTTTGGTTATTTGGCATTTATGTAGTGCTTTGTGTTTACAGGCAAGAGGGAGTTGGCCCTGTGCTGATACCAAATATTGTGGGCTGGTGTGACATTTATAAAGACTAGAGGATCAGTGCTGACATCAGACATCCAGGCCACTCACCTTTGTGGGGTGGGGGGCCAGAGTACATATGACTAACAACAGCCACCCGTGTATCATCTGTAAAAGAAGGAAAACAATGCTTGCCACATGAGATAGTGTAATTTGTAAGAAATACATATTTTGTCATTCAGTTGTGGTTTTCATCCATAATTCCTGGCTCTTTCCTCACCAAATTGACTAAGTGTTGAGAGTGATAAAGGTGTCTTGTTAATGGAGACGGCTGGACCCCCCACTCAAGGGCGGGGCTGTTGCCAGGACGACCAACCATGTG